ATTGCCAACACCAGTCACAATTCTGCTTATCAGGGAACATGGGCAGCTCCTGCTTGATGATTCAGGATGGTGTCCTCTGTCCCTGTCTACATTGTTCACAACACCAACATCCCCCTGTAAGAAAGGGCTTTCTAGTGGTCCGTGTCCATGATTTCACTTTTTATTGCACACTTGGGAATTCAGGTATTTTTAGTAAAACACTAAGAAGCTTGCAAAGGGTAGAGAGGCATTTTGGGGTTTTGTTTTGTCTTTACCAAAAGGAGAAGCAGGACTAGGGAATTGGGACATTTTCTTCCCGTGTCCCTCTGCAGATCAGCCGTCCCTCTGCCCTTCCGGGAGGGACATTTTCAAGGTGTCACATCCAGTGCACTTTGGGCCATTTTGAAAAAAACTGCTGAGAAGTGCTCCGGCTTGGAAGAAACAGAGCGCATGTGTCATGTGGCTGAGGTGAGGACCCAGCTGTGTGGTCTCAAACACAGGCCATCAAGGACACCAGCCTGCGGCCTCAGATGACGGAGAGGAATGCCAGCTGCAGGGGACAGCTGGGTTCTGCTTGTTCAGTTTTTTTTCTTGACTGCTGTGAAGAACACTCTCCATTTCTGGTCATTCTTTCTGCTTGCTTTTAGGTGAGCTGAGTGCTTATGGTTTTACTCTTCTCGTATTTGAATGTGTTCCCAGTTGTTCTCATTCTTCTTCTAATAGTTTCACTACAATGCAGAACGTGCATTCTTGACCCACTGTGACGAGCAGATCTTCTATCACTGTCCGATGTCGCTGGAACATGGAGCTGCTGCAACTCAGTGCTGCTGGCTGCTGCAGTTGCTGTTGGTACACTCTTGTGCTTTATGCATGATTTACACTCGACAGTGCAGCCCACACATATAACTTATCTTCACCTGTGGGGTTACTAATTCCAGGGTTCCTAATTCACTATTAAATTTTCATTTTTCCACCTGGGATTATTTTCATTCACCCTAAAATAACTTCTTTTAGTCTTCCTACTAAGGCTGGACTTCTGATGACGAATTTCCTCATTTTGATCTGTCTAACCATATCCTTATTTCACTTTCTCCGGGGGGGGGAATATTTTTATTGAACAGAGAGCTTCTTTTCTTTCAGGTATTTAACCCATAACGCATTGTTTTCTGGCTTCCGATATTTCTAGTAAGAAGTCAGCCTTTGCTCTCAGTGTAGCTTCGTTGAATTCAGTGTCTTTTTTTTCTGCAGGTTTAAAGCCTTCTTCTTTGTCTTTCCCTCTCAACTTTTCTCATGTAGTTTGCTTTGTGTTTGCTTTCACCGTTACTGTTGTTGATGGTGTGTGTGTTCCTCTTTTACGTGGTTTGTTGAGCTTCCTTTATGCATATATTAATACTTCCACCAGCTTTGGAAACCTGCTGCTTTGAATGTTGCTTTGACACATTCTTTCTACCTTTATTCTTTGAGTGCTTCCTTTATGTGTATGCCTATTTTGATGTTTCCTAATTTGTTCATCTTTTCCTTTGTTCTCTTAAACATTTAATTGTAGGAATTTTAAATCTTTATCTGCTAAATCCAACATCTGAATCAGCTGTGATCCTGCTTTGTTTTTGGTTATTGGTATATCCTCTTGTCTCTTCACTTGTATAGTAATTTTTGATTGCATGGTAGGCATTGTCAGTAAGTAAGCTACAGACAGTACAGGTGTTGCTTCCTTCCACCTGTGAGGGCTCCTCTGCCTTCTCCTGGGAAGCTAAGGTAAGGGTCAATCATCTTCATCAGACCAGAAACAGAGGTGTGCTATGGAACCCAAGACCCTTCCCCTCCTCACTGTCTGTCCAATGCTTGTGCGTCAACACTGAATGTAACAGCAGACCCAGCTCTGCCTCTGAAACCCCTGGACCTTGCTCCGCAGCCTCCTGTCCTGCACAATCTCAAATTCTGGAAAATGTCTAGAATGAGACCAGCTAATACCTGGGGCTGTAAGAAACCCCATCACAGTTTTGCCTTCAAACCACCTCTATCCTTGTAGGGACTCAGCCTGCTTTTCATGAGCACTGACCGAGGCACCAGGCACCCATGCAGCTGAAGAACTCCACAAATGTCCCTTGGGGAGTTTGGGGTGCATTCCAGTTCTCCCCACATTTCCAGTTTGTTTCTCTAGTCCTCTGCAACTGCAAAAACATCATCTACTTTCCCTTCCTTCCAGAAAGGGTTCTTGAGGCCTGGAGAACCGCTCAGAACTGGCCACTGTCCCTGAGGGAAAAGCAGGTCATAGTTATCAGTCTACCTCAGAGAACTTGTCCCATCCAGAAGTCTTTCAGTGGGACAGTGCTTTCTGATGTTTGATAATGCGATTTTTGTCATTTGCCTTTCTTGCTGATGGGAGCAGTAACTGGTCACAACCTACTCAGAAGTGGGAAGCCCTGGCTTTGTCCCTTAAATGAGTGAATAATGGCTTGCATTCCCTAAGAAAGATAGATGAATCTGCACAGTTTTGGGAAAATAATCAGCTGAGATGGTAGAGGTACCCTTCCACCTGTTCAATATCCATCCACTCCCAGGGCTCCACCTGTTGACATTATTTCTCAAAGATCATTAATGTTGCCTGAATGTGAGCCAAGGAGCACATAGAGAAATATTCCACATCTGCAGAGCAGAGGACAAGCTAACCCCGTTCCCCACCACATGCACTGGAGGAGAACAGCAGAGGCACCAAAATGCCCTCACACCCTTGGAAAACCACACAGATAGCAGTGAAATTTCACTTAGCAAAAGGAAAAAGGAGAGCTTGGTGTAGGCAGTGTGGCCCTTGCATATATCCAGGCGATGAGAAGTCTTAGTTAAGAACGTGGAATCCTCCACCAAGTTCCCTGTGATGTTGGGCAAATTACCTGGTTTCTCCATGCCTCAGTTTCCTCAACTGCACTTTCTGGGCCACATAAGGAGAGTAATGAGTTAATGGTTGTAAGGTGTCCAGCAAGGGGCCTGGCACAGAGCGCTCAGGAACTCACTGAACTCTATGCACATCCCTGCCACCGTGCTCTTGGCTCTTTCCACTGGCTCAGGAGCAGTCACCTCCACAAGGTTCCTCGTTTCCCCATCATTCTGGAGACCAACAGCAAGCGCTCACATTGGGGCTGCTCCTGCTCTGCAGCTCCCTTTCCACTGGTGCCTCGAGGGCCACTTGCCATTGGTCTTTCAGGGCCCATCAGTCACAGCCTTCTCCTCCGTGCTGGCTTTGTTTCAGTGCCTCCCTGGCATTCAGTTTGAGAAGCTCCTTTGGCTCCAAAGCATCTCGGAGACCCAGTGATGGACTCTGAGTGTAGGCTTGGCCTCTACGGCTTCTGGGCCTTACACCTCCTTCTTGACTCTAGCCTTTGACAGCCTCCTGCAAGTGAGCAACAGACTCAAGTAGGGCTTAGCATGGCCCTGGAACACTGAAGGCCTTGCCCTCCCTGTGCCATCACCCCCTTTCGCTGTGGAGTCTTCTCTATCTGGTCTTAATGTGGGGCTGTGGGGGTGGAAGAGCTTGTGGGGCAGGGTATTTGGTGCTTTGGGTGTGGGCTGAACCATTTCCTTTCCTTGAATTGCTGTGGGTTCTCCCATTCTAATTTCTAGACTCACTTGTAACCGACAGATACACTTCTGAGTAGCCAGAAAACCCAGCGCCGAGATATCCAGCTGTTAGGGCAACGGCTGCCGGGAGAAGGGAGGAGCCCGCTTTGTCTGGCTGGAGTCCGGCGAGCTCGGTCTTCAAGCGCCCTTGTGAAGCAGGAGGAAGTCACTGTTGGAAGCAGCCCTGTGCACGTGCTTCCCTGCAGAGGCTGGGAGGGCTGGCATCTGAGAATGGTTGCCGCTTTAGCAAATCGCTCTGCTTCACAAACATGCCGTAACGTGGAAGGCTGCGCTGTCCTCGGCACAGCTAACCTGCCTCGAGGGATCCGGCTTGACATTTCAGGGCCATCTCTTGCAGTGTCTGAGCTAGGAAACAGTGCACGTGTCTTCACATTGTATGGATCACACAGGTCCCTCCTGAGTCAGGGAGCAGCGGTCAGAACCAGTCGACCACGTTGCCTCCACGGTCGTGACTGGTGCTAGCCTTGGCCCAGCGGTGGGCCTAGCTCCAGGAGGGGTGGAGCTTGAGAGTTATCAATTATTGAGAACACTGATAAGGCACCATCAGGTATACAGTGATTTTTAACTTAAAAATGTTTATTGCAGTAAAAGACACAGTGCCATTTATCCCCCTCAAGATCCTTCTCCTCACCTTCAACACACTTATCCCATTGTTTCTGCCACTTTCTGGAGCAGTTCCAGAAATTCCTCTTTCATGCATTTATGAGGTGTGATCAAAAACACAATGAATACCATGTAGCTTGCTGTCCAAGAGAAAAAACAGATTCATAAAACACGATGCTGTGTCCCTGTCCACCTTAGTCACCGGATCTGGCACCGTGTGACTCCTGGCTCTTCCCCAAAGTCAAAATGACCGTGAAGGGGGAGAGTTTTGAACCCACTCAGGACATCGAGGCAGCCAGGGCAGTGCAACTGAGGACGCTCAGGAGAGAGGGCTCCAAAGCGGCTGCGGGACGTGGTGAGGACATGGAATGCGTGTGTTCAAGCAAGGAGGAAATTTTGAGGGAGATTAATGGTAGTGTGTCTTTTACTGTAATGAATGTTAGTATTTAAATATTCACTGTATTTTCACATGCAAATTCAATGAAGAAAACGTACAGGGCGTCCTACGTGGGCACACAGTGGGGAGTGCAGGTTGAGCAGGCTGGGCTCTGTCCTCTCGTCTGGAGCGGTGGCTCATGGCAAGCCACACACCGGCCTCCTGGTGCTGGGTCCCTCTTGGGTCCCAGCCCACCAGCTGGCAGCCACCCCCTCCCTGCCCTTCCCATCTACCCTGGGCGGGAGGTCTGCAGACGGGGCCGCCTCAACCCTCCTGCCCACACGTCGTGACCACAGGCCACGCTCTTCACCCGTGTCTGACACCTCCCCTGTCTTCTGTGCCCCAGGTCATCCACCAGCTGCGGCTCTCAGAGAATGAGAGTGTGGCCCTGCAGGAGCTGCTGGACTGGAGGCGGAAGCTCTGCGAGGAGAGAGACTGGCAGCAGGTCCTGCAGCAACAAGAGCCCTGTGCACCCCCGCCACCGCCCTGCAAGAAGCCCACGCTGCTGAAGAAGCCAGAAGGGGCCTCCTGCAGCCGCCTGCCCCCCAAGCTCTGGGACACCACCATCTAGGGCCCTGGGCTGCAGACACAAGGACGCAGGCTGCCTTGGGGGACACTGCATTGACCCTCTCCCCACACATCGATTAGAAAAAGCACCGGACACGGATGCTCCGATAGGACGCATTTCCTGTGTGCGTGTGTGTGGGTGTGCGTGCGTGTGTGTGGGGTGTGTTCTTTCTTCCCTTTTCTGTGATTGTCAGGCTCCACATTTATAGGGCTGCACTCCCCACAAGTGGGGACAGAAAAGCCAGGCGCGTGAGCCGAGGAGGGGCGGCAGCCAGCAGGGAGCAGTGACAGGGGACCCACGGGCGCCTGGGCAGGGCAGTTCCCTGGAGCTCGGCCACATGGCTCACCCTCACCGCGGCTTCGTGCTGCTCCTGTGCACAAGACTCACTTGTTTATTTCCTCCTAGGTGTTTGTGTTCTGTTTGAATTCCAACTCAGTGATTATTTGCGCGTAGAAGACTGTGTTTTATAACTCGATGCACTTGGTGGTGCGCCCTTCTTTCGAACACAAATTTTAAAACGCCACTTCTAGGTTTTTCCCTTCACACGTGTTGTTTGATTGACCTGGATTGTCCACCCCCTGGGGACCATGTTGTTGCTTGGCTTTGCAGTGTCACCTTGGGCCCAGCCCCATGGTGTCTTAGACTTCGCTCTCGGTTAGGGGACAGCTGGATCCCTCAGCCGGCCTCTGCATTTGGGGCAGCGGCCTGTGTGCCCCTTAGCAAAACCCCGCCCCGCCCTGGCTTTGGTGCTCAGCTACGCGTGCATGGCTTCCGGTTCAGCACTGTGGTGCAAAAGGTCATCCCAAGGTCACAGTGTGGGTCTTGGGCTCAGCCCTGCTGGCTGGTGCAGCAGTGCTGCATCTCAGGCCTCCCCCCACCAGCGGCACTGCATGACCCTCCCACTATGTCCCCTCCCTCCTGTCACCCAGTGGCTCTGCTTCTGCTTCCTTGTGCATTTCCATCCCTGGGGGGTTCCCAGCAGTGGCTCCAGACCACCTGTCTTGCTACTCAGAATTTCTTATTCATACCAGCCTTTGGAATACGACTCTGCCAATAAAAGGGTGGAATTCCACACTGCTGTGGTGTCCTCTGCTTGGTGTCCGGGCTGGCATCTTCCCGGAGCCCTGGAGTCTTCTGACCAGCCATGTGGCGGCAGCAGATCCATCCGCCTCCCTTGCCCTGTTTGTCCTCACAGTGGCTGCAAGCGCCAGGCTCTGCGGGATTTGTTCCGTAAGAGAAGCACTGTGGCTGCTCAGGCATGGCGAGACCAACCACTCAGGAGGCTGATGACCTCAGAGAGACAGACGGCTTCTGGGGCCAGCAGTCCCAGGAGAAGCAGCCATGCGGGGCCATGGAAGGGCCACTGGGAGCAGCAGCAGGGTTGGTCAGAAAGCAGAGGGAGTATCTTGGCCTCTTCCTCGTCCCTGGGACACAATACTCGACTCCTGCAACGTAAAGGAGGCGTTTTTAGTTCAAGGTGGAAGGGTCCGGCAGAAGAAAGCTGCTCACATATGGAGCCGGGAGGCAGAGAGAGGGGATCTGGAAGCCAGAAAGCACCCTGCCAGGGCCCCACCTCCTACCAGCGGCACCAGGACCTGGGCCCAGTCGCCTTCCTGAGGACCAGCCTGCTGTCACACGCGGCTTTAGGGGCGCATCTGCAGTGCTGCCTCCGTTCAGGAGCTCAATTCTCTCCACAATTCTGGTTGCAAACCAAATTAGACGAGAACCAAATCAGATTTGAAGGTCAGATTCAATGCTGACTTTAGAAGGAATGTAACTCGGTTCCTGTCCAGCTCAGTCTGCGACCAGAATCGTGGAGAGAATCAAGCTCATGAAGTGAGGTACCGCTGTGGGTCTGAACCCCGACAGGGAGTGAGCGAGCTGAAGGCTGCGCGCCGCTCTGCAGAGCAGCCAGGCAGGGCAGGGAGGTGCAGACCTGCCAGGACAGGGGTCTGGATGCTGCAGCTGACCCCAGATGCCGGGTCATTTGCCCTCTAGGGACGCAGGAGTGGGAGGGGGGCTGGAGCAGATGCTGGAACAGAGCCCTGTGAGATCCGTTGCCGCTGCGGGCTCTGAACTCTGAGTGGCTGGGGTGCCTTTGACGGCGCTCAGCACCGACGAATCTAGGAGGCTGCGGACAGCAGTGGGTAGGGCGCCCTTCCGGGGTCAGAGGGCTCAGGCCACAGCATCAGAGCAGACAGAACAAGAGACACAGCTGATGCATGGCCAGTGTGGCGTCTCTGCTGCAGTCCGACCCTGGCAAGGAGAGGCGGGGCCCAGTTGCAGCCGAAAGGGGCCAGTTCAGCGCTGCCCACCACTCTGCGCCCTCCACTCAGCCCAGAAGCAGCAGAGAATCGGGCTCTTTGCAGAAACCGGGTTCCTGTGATCAGACCCTGCCGATTGCTCTAGGCGTGGCTCATGGGCTTGGGTCCAGGTCTGAGCAGCCTCTGCTGCATCCCTAAGACAGGCGGCCCTGATCAGGCTGCGAAAGCAAAGCAGACTTCGGGGCTGGGGTGACGCTGGCTCCGACATCCAGGCTCACGGCGCCCATGGCCTGGTGCCCTGGTCTGCACGTGCCGTCTTCTTATGGCGGCTGTCATGGCAGAGGGACGGGGACGGGGAGAGGCTCCCTCAGGGCTGTGTGAGGGCAAGGGTCCCACCAGCGATGCTGCTCCTGACCTAACCACCCAACACGCTTTTCATTCAGTCTCACTGGGGACCGGGCATCAGCCAACACTGCCACCTCGGCGCCAGCCTGTGCCTGCATTCACTGGGCTTAAAACTCAGGGTTTTCAGGAAGTGGATCGGAATGTGAGCTCATGTTTGTGAGGCCCACGTGCATCATCCTGAACACAATATTACAGAAGTTGTCAACTTATGACATCAAAGACATCTTTAGAAAAGTCACACTGAGTGACCTTGTTCTGACCCAGCTGTGTAAAAGCGTGGTTCGCGATGACTGTGGGGAGAAGACTTCCCATGCACACAGGAGACCGAGCCACATGACTCCACCCAGCCCCGGCGTTAGGGCTGGGACACCCCTGGGGTGGCCCTGACCACCACTGCTAGGGTGCTGTGGGCAGCAGGAGATGTTACACATTTCATCTCTCCGGGAGTCCTCTGCCACGGTCCAGGCTGACCCTCAAGGCTAGACGCCAAACCCTGTCCCTCAGTACACGCAAGCTCCGGGCCAGGCAGCCAGAGCAAGCCTGCTCGGTCTCTGTCCGTTTCTCCCTGTGGAGAGAGGTTTTAAGGTGGCCCTGGGTACTAAAGCACCCGATCCTGCCTTCTGCTGCCATGGTAAGGAGATCATCAGAGACTCAACAGCACTAGCACGATAATGACAGGGCAGCCGGGCGGCTGCGACCACCAGACACCAAGTCCGACTGTTCGTTGGTTGAGGCTACCCGCGGAGAGGCCCCAGTGGCCATCCTATGTCGTGACAGCAGACAGAAGCGCCATTCTGAGTAATAGAGCACCGAAGGTTGCTCCGTGTCGGCCAGATTTCAGCAGTTACGTACGTTTGCAAACTAACGATGGTATTTTAATTGCGAACAGACCATAGGAGAGGAATTGTGACATAGTATTGGGCCTGTAACCTTATGTTTAGCAACATAATTGGTTTGAATTATGACCGCATGTTCAAACACTGCCCACTCTGTGGCTTTTAAAAAATTATTCATGAAAGGGCTCTAAAAACTACTATCAGAATGTTTGCAGTGGGTCAAAATGATTTAAAATGTATTTTCCAGGGTGGAAAAAATAGATCATTACTACTCTTAAATAGTGGTATCTAATTTAGTAGAATTATGATTGGATACATCTACTCAGCAAAAACAACCAATTAAAATCTGAAATTTGTGAATAAAATTCACATATAGATATTATGAAATTGGACAAAAATATGACTAAAAAATATGGATAAACTTCTGCTAAAATTCTATTGCTGTCAGTCTACGTCAGACAGAAACCCAGCCCTGTCTGAACCAAAGAGGCCGAGTTAACAAGTCCTAGAGCTCCTCAGTGGGAGGCCGGTCAGTGCTGAGCTCCATCTGAAATACTGATTTTACTCTCAACGTTTAAAAGTTTCTGTTTCATTTTCTCTTTATTTTTCGTGAGACACTGATAATTTTCATCAGAAAAAAATTCTTAAATTAGATGAGAAGAAAACATAGCCTGTGTTCTGAGTAAATTTTTTTCATAGTTTAATTACATTTTCCAAACCATGTTAGCAGTTCCTAAAAATCCGTAAAATAAAGATAAAAGCAGTAGTATTTCTATTTGCTATAGCATGGTAAGTTTGCCACTGTCAAAAAACTAATAACACAGGTTTCACCCTCATTCTTCCTAACCAATGACTATAAAACAATTTCTCCCACAAGGAGAGCCCTGCCTGCCGGGTCCCTGTGACACTACAGAGAGCAGACTTATGGGGTGCTGAGCTTCCAGGAAGGAACATCCCACAGGGCTTCACTTAGCCTCAGCTCTGCTGACCCCTGGGAGGTCTATTACTGTGGCTTTCATAAGTTTCTCTAAAGTCCAGGATGATTTGCAAACTTTAAAGATGGTCTTTTTCAAAGGGTGAGTTTTCTTAGCGGCCTAACATACATCTCTGTGCCCTGTTCTAATTTCTCAGATCATTTCCCAGGGTTTCTGCAGTATATTTAGGCTTTAAATATCACTTCTGCATGCTTGGATACCACCTCTCTGTTATAGTCTGGCTTGGATGTAGTCTACCCGGTCATGCCAATGGCGGGGGACATTTTGATGTCTTTTCACGAGAAAGTGATTGAGGGTGGGTAAATCTCTACGTTCATCCCAGTGGCTGTCGCACAATAGGGATGTGTCCACCGTGTCCTCTCCTGCTTTGATTAGAGTCACCCGGACCCCGGCATCTTCACGGGAATTGTGTGTCCGCAGAGGGGGGCAGCCAAGAATGCTCCGGTGACGCTTCCAGATGTCACCGTTGGGTTTCTAATGTTTAAAGAAAATGAAAGAGAATGGAACTATTAATAAATCCTAAGGGACATCAAAGCTCTGCAGAAGAATTAAACCAAATGCAATTTAAGGTTTTGATCTTGTAAGATTTGAACAAACAGAGGGGCTGGTGATGCATGCTCTGGAACAATTACTTGAAATGTATCCATGCTGCCATACTCCGGGGAGAAGCTTTCTTAAGGAGCCTGTTTCGGGGGCCTGGTAACCTGAACTTGATCTGACTGGCTCTAGGGTGTCACAGAGGAGCGGGATGACCTTCCGAGGGGACCTCTTAGGAGTGTCCACCAAAGGAGCCATTTTAACATTACAGAACTACCCCGAGAGCCCTTTCATATGAATGAGCAGCATATCCACGTGTGCTGTAGGAACCTGTGCTTCGAACAATTACACTGCAATTTGTAGTTGGAAAACCACTGTGTTTCCTCTGGGCTTAGTGACAGTCTGTATTTTATGCAGATAGCAGGAACTGTTCCCCAGCAAAATAAAGGAGAGGTCACAGAAATCCAGAGTCCTGAGCACAGCACCAACAATGGCAAAGGTAAGAGGCTGGGAGCTCGGACCTGACTCCCTGTCGTTCCTGCTGTGCTCTTGTCTTACCGGGAACCCTCCGCTTCCTCGCTCTGAAGGCAGACGAAGCTCCTGAGATGCAGCGCTCGAGGCCCATGCGTTCACAACCTGGAGGTCTGTCCGTGTGGCTCGAAGGAAAACTGAAGAGAACAAGTGGCTACATCCCCAGGCCTGACGGCTGGCGGCTGGTGCTTGACACTAATGAGCGGTGGCCAGTCTGCGACCCTGCCTACCTTTGTGACTGAAGAGGGCTGGTGAACAAACCACCCAGAAACCGGAGCTCTACACCGAGCATTTCAGTTTTCTCCCTGGGCCACAGTCCGTTGACCCCATGCAGCAGCCACTGGGCACTGGGGCTCCCTCCATGGCTATGGCCTCCTGTGGGTCTTGCAGGGCTCCCCAGTGAGCCGAGGGAGGGATGACAGCCCAGAGAAGGGTCCCGGAAGGGGTGTGCAGCTCACCAGAAGGAGCTCAGGCCACTCTGTCCTCATCGGCTGGGGCAGGTTC